GCGTGGCACTTGTTACTACTAGCGTGGCACTTGTTACTACTAGCGTGAGAATCTGATGTCTCAAACAGATGTCACTGGACCCACAAACGCAAGCTCAAATCTACCCATCTTCGTTTGTTTCTTGTCAAGGTGCTCAAAGAGAGCCACATGAAATTCTGGAGCCTTTCGAGCGAAAACAAACATCCGTACATACTACGACTACGTCTCTTCTAGCATCATAGCTCAAGAACATGGACAAAGTAATTCAAGAGCAGAACGAAACATGTATTGCAAAATGCTACATTCTGTGTTGTTCACAAGCTTATTTCTCCCACACATGCTTCCACTCACCATCAGCTTGCTTGGGCGTGCTTGCAACAAATATCTAAATAGGACTACACTACATTGCAGTCATTTTCTCCTAATTATTCTCCAAATTGCGAATATTTGTCTTTTTCTGGTGAACAAGGCTATACAGCTACAGTGTTCTTTTGAGCTCTGTAGCAAAAAATGTTTCTCTTGCGGTCTCAGACAAAGGAGCAATTCCCACCTGCAGCTTGGCCTCCCAATCCACACCTTTGGAACTGCGAGAGGCTGCAATAATATCGGCTGCAGAACAGCTTCCAAATGTCTAAATCGGCTTTGGCTGCTTTAAGTCCGATCAAGATTCACAGCCGATTAAAGAGATTAGAACACCTCACAGACCCAGTGGCATGTGTTGCCACGTCCTTTGCCGGGATTGCTTTGTGCTTTTCGACGGTGTCACCTATGTTGCACTCCGATAGATGTTTCCTTTGGAGTTGGGATGAGACTCAAAAGGTGTGACAGCAGGTCGGCTGGTGTTGCGACTCAAGGAGAGCGATGTAGGCGCAGCCGGTCGCCGCAACGTGGCCATGTGAGATATCTCGCGTCGCCGCAACGTGGCCATCGTCCCGGGTGGAATCCGTTTTGCAGTTTTCCCCGATTCGCAATTTCTAGGCCGAATTGAATGCCAGGTGGGCGCTGCAGGATCTGCGCAAAGTGAAAGCGAAAGGTTCAAATCCTTTCCGGTAAGCAAACATGAAAAAAAAAGTCTGTGTGTGTGTGGGGCACTGTACCAGACCAGCATTAGACCTTGTACTAGCAAGGGATAGGCTTGAACAAAATGTGGTTGAATTTGGAGACCAAATGAACATTGTACTAGCATCGGACGACGGATTGCATTGCAATTTGTTGAGAACAGCATTGACCGCCTGCTTCATCAAGGATTGCCCAGGCGGCCTGTTGAGAGCGTTTAGCCAAACTTGAAAGTCCTTGAGGTCCTTTCGTTCCTTCCAAACCTTTTGGTCCTTTCGTTTCATCTGTCATCTTTTTGATAAGTCTCTTTTCTTATTTGTTTCACCTTTCTTTCATATGTCCATTTCTTTCCCTCGATTTGCGCTCTCGAAGAAAGAGCGCCCTTGAAATCTATGTCCTCCAAGGAATGGAAGCGCGATTCCAGCCATTCGCGGAAATTCAACAAGAGTCGGTCAGACCTCACATCTCAAGACGCAAAGACACAAAGAGGCGTGAAGACTGACAAGTGAAAGGCACTTGTTCCTAGTAGCGTCCTTGTTACTACTAGTAAGGCACTTGTTACTAGTAGCGATGCACTTGTTTCTAATCCGCCGACCCCACACCGTGGGGTGAGGCGTGACTGTCGATGTTAGCCTTGGCCTTAAGCCTTAGCCTTAGCCTTATCCTCAGCCTTAGACCTAGTCCTTAGCCTTAGACCTAAACCTTACCTCCCCTACCCCTCCGGACCCTTGTTGCAGTGACGAAATCCGGCCCGGAATTCTCCAGGAAAGCTACCTGATTGCGACGTGGATTCTGCCATCCCAATTGATTTACATCTTGGGGCACCCTCTCGACCCGCGCGGGAAAATAAGCACGGTCCAAAATGGTCCTGGGCTCGAATCCCGGGCTGGTCGCGGCATGGTCCCGGCCAATGCCCTTGCTTTTTCGTAGATTTTGTCACGTTTTCTGTTGGTTTATGAGATTGCATTTTCCTGGGAATGCTGTAGGCTTTGTCTAGATTTTGTTATGTTTTCGGCTGGATGCTTTTCCAAGCATTTTCTAGCGCTTCCTCTTGTTTTTAAGTTCCCAGATTTCTCCCAAAAATTGGTAACCTTTTGCTAACCTATGGAACTTTCAAAGGCTTTTCTAGCATTTTCCTAGGAATGCCCTAGGCTTTGTCTAGATTTTGTTACGTTGTCGGCTGGATGCTTTTCCAAGAATTTTCTAGCGCTTCCTCTTTTTTTTAGGTTCCCAGATTTCCCCTCAAAATTGGTAACCTTTTGCTAGTTCCCGGCCAAAGCATTTGATTTTTCCTAGGAATACTCTTGGCCGCACTTAGATTTTGTTACGTTTTCGACTAGATGTTAGGAATGCTCTAGGCTTTGTTTGTTCGGGAGGGTGCTTTTCCAAAAATTTTCTTGCATGTCCTCTTGACTTAGGTTCCCAGATTTGCACCAAAAATTGTTAACCATTGGCTATTATGCCGGTGTTCCCGGCCACACACGGGGCCCCTTAGACAACGACAGGATTATCGTGAGAAACAGAGACAGTCCTCTATCGTGAAACCCACCTTTGCAGTTTGGCTTGCGAGGGGTCCTCGGCGATAGAGTGTGCCTGGACAGCAGGATATAGACGCGGACTCGTCGGTGAGGAACGCATCATCATCAGCACGGGGTTGACGCAAGAGATCACGTATGGTAAATCTGGGAGGTACCCCAAAAGTCGACTTTTTGGGTACGTGCTGTGGTGGTGATGGGTCTGAACTCTTAGGCAATGATATCCTTTATGGGGAGAAGGGTTCAGCATCACGGGGTTCATGCAAGCGACGACGTCCGATGGTAAATCTGGGAGGTACCCAAAAAGTCGACTTTTTGGGTACCTGCGTTCATGCAAGAGATCACGTATGGTAAATCTGGGAGGTACCCAAAAAAGTCGACTTTTTGGGTAGCTGCTGTGGTGGTGATGGGTCTGAAATCTCAGGCAATGATGTCCGACGGTAAATCTGGGAGGTACCCAAAAAGTCGACTTTTTGGGTACCTGCCTTCATGCAAGAGATCACATATGGTAAATCCAAAAAGTCGACTTTTTGGGTACCTGCTGTGGTGGTGATGGGTCTGAACTCTTAGGCAATCATATCCTCTATGGGGAGAAGGGTTCAGCATCACGGGGTTCATGCAAGCGATGACGTCCGATGGTAAATCTGGGAGGTACCCAAAAAGTCGACTTTTTGCGTACCTGCTTTGGTGATGATGGGTTGGGTCATCGGGAGAAACCGATCGATTCAGCACGAGTCCGGGCGCTGAGTCGACTTTTTGGGTACCTGCTTTGGTGGTAATGGGTTGGGTCGCCGGGAGAAACCGATCGATTCAGCACAAGTCCGGGCGCCGACACCTGCTTTGGTGGTGAAGGGTTGGGTCTAAATTCTTGGGCAATGATCGGGGCTGGGAACACTAGAATCGAATAGGTTTAAAATAAGTTCATCAATTTTTGAGCAAATCAGGGAACCTAAATGCAAGAGGACATGCTAGATAATTCTGCAACCATGGAAGAAAATTGGGGAACTCCTACCCGGGTCCGGAGGGGTAGGGGCGGTCTGAGGCTAAGGCTAAGTCTAAGGCTAAGGCTAGGCTAAGGTTAAGGCTAACATCGACAGTCACGCCTCACCCCACCTCTCTGCCTGGAGCAAGGCTAGCGCTAAGGTTCTATCCCTTGGGGGTCGGCGGCTGCAGGCGGTAGCCTGGTAAATAGCTGAAAGCTGAAATAACACAAAGAGGCGTGAAGACTGACAGCTGAGTGTTTTCTGGGTCTGCCGCTGCATGGTGTATCGTTTGCGCTCTCTTGCCTGGAAAAAAGAAAACGAGCAAAACAACTTGCTTCTCAGCTCAAAAGAGTCCTCCAGAATGCCAGAAGCCCGGTCGAACGTGCTCACCTTGAAGCAAACAATTTCCACACCAGACAGCCCTTCTCGACTACAACTGTTCGGTCGCTGAGAAATGAAGCCGATACTGAAATGGAAAATGTGTTTCATGTCTTGTTTTTTTGCGTTTAAGAAAAAAGGATGAGAAAAAAGGGTCAGGGCCCCTTCTCGAGGCCTTATTGAAGAGGCCCTTACCCTCTTCCTCTCTGGGGACATAGAAATGTTTATACTCAAAACGAGCAGTTTTACTTGTGCTTCGTCTACCCCAGCCAACCTCTACATCGCGCTCCGCCTCCTGCGACAGACCGTGAAGATCATGAGGTAATTGCGTTTTTTTCCCGCTCCGAGGTAGGAATAGCTGCTAGTAACAAGTGCCTTACTAGTAACAAGAAGCTAGTAGAAACAAGTGCCACGCTACTAGTAACAAGTAGCTAGATGGATGTCCATAGAGGTAGAAATAGCTGTAGGAGCTTTTTCTCGCGCGCGGGGGGTAGGCCACGACTCTTACCTAGAAGTAGATACTACTGACAGGATGCAGGATAGCTTGCGCTAATGATTTGGTTCCTCGATGTTTAGGGGAACTGAACCTACTAATAGCACATATAGTTAATCACTTCAGCGAGAATGCTACTAGTAGCGATGCCAGGAGCCCCTAGTAGCGTCCTTGCTCTTAGTAGCGATGCCCTTTGCTCCTAGTAGCTTCTTTTCAAAAACTGCATGTTTGAACTTCCAACTGCTAGGCCAAAACGTATCACACTGCAGGTTCCTCTTGAAGCTGTGCCTGGAAAAAGCAAACTGTTGATGTGTCGGCTAATTGTTTTTTGCAAGTTCAGTTCAGTTCATCTGAAAATTGTTGTGGGTTGATCTGCTTTCACCCGCCTCTTCGTCTAACGAGGGCAATGGCAAGTCCAAGCTATCTGAGAATGTGCCCATGGAACTTTGCAGGTTTTTTCTATACTATGGTAACAAAAAGCTACAAGGAACAAGGGCATCGCTACTAGTAGCAAAGGGCATCGCTACTAGGAACAAGAACGTTACTAGTTGCCTAGTTGCTGTCAATCACCACCTAGTTAGCTGTGAAAGGGTGCTTGGCACTCCCCAAGGGCGGGATGTCGTGCATGGCTAGCTGGTTTCTACTTCTTATCGCCAATTGAAAACCGTTCCAAATCCAAACAACACAGCACTCATCCCCCTGAATGGGGGTCGGGTGCGTGTGAGGGAACTTGAACTATCAAACAAGCAAAAATAAAACATAACTAATCACGATCAAGGAATTACGTGTGTGACATGAGTCTATATAATGAGTCTGAAGAACGAACACAAAATCAAATGGTAGGATCATGCTTGCGCCCTAAGTTTCCAAGTGTGAACAAGAATTTGAGAACAGGATCCTAAGCCTTAGACCTCTTTTGGACCTTTTCTCCAGCAATTTGTCCGTTGTATTTAATTGTTTTTTATCTCTCTTCCTCTTGGATTTTGGTTCTTTTGGTTCCTTTGGTTCCTGGCTCCATTCGATCTGTAGCGACCTGAAAGCAAAAGAAAGCTTTGAAAATTGGAGTTTACCGCAAACCAGGGTCCCGGCTCCACCGAACAGTCTGACACCCTGAGTATGTTCGCAACCGGTTTAAAATAGCTTCTTCTTCCTAGTACGGCCAGGAGCCCCTAGTAGCGTCCTTGTTCCTAGTAGCGATGCCCTTGTTACTAGTAGCTTCTTCTAGTACGGCCAGGACCCCCTAGTAGCGTCCTTGTTCCTAGTAGCGATGCCCTTGCTACTAGTAGCTTCTTCTTCCTAGTACGGCCAGGAGCCCCCCAGTAGCGTCCTTGCTCCTAGTAGCGGTGCCCTTGTTACTAGTGGCGATGCGCCTTGTTTCTAATAGCTTCTTCTTCCTAGTGCGGCCAGGAGCCCCTAGTAGCGTCCTTGTTCCTAGTAGCGATACCCTTGTTACTAGTAGCTTCTTCTAGTACGGCCAGGACCCCCTAGTAGCGTCCTTGTTCCTAGTAGCGATGCCCTTGCTACTAGTAGCTTCTTCTTCCTAGTACGGCCAGGAGGCACTAGTAGCGTCCTTGTTCCTAGTAGCGATGCCCTTGTTACTAGTAGCTTCTTCTTCCTAGTACGGCCAGGAGCCCCTAGTAGCGTCCTTGTTCCTAGTAGCGATGCCCTTGTTACTAGTAGCTTCTTCTGCCTAGTACGGCCAGGAGCCCCTAGTAGCGTCCTTGTTCCTAGTAGCGATGCCCTTGTTACTAGTAGCTTCTTCTTCCCAGTACAGCCAGCCCCTAGTAGCGTCCTTGTTCCTAGTAGCGATGTCTTTGTTACTAGTAGCTTCTTCTTCCTAGTACGGCCAGGAGCCCCTAGTAGCGTCCTTGTTCCTAGTAGCGATGCCCTTGTTACTAGTAGCTTCTTCTTCCCAGTACGGCCAGCCCCTAGTAGCGTCCTTGTTCCTAGTAGCGATGCCATTGTTACTAGTAGCTTCTTCTTCCTAGTACGGCCAGCCCCTAGTAGCGTCCTTGTTCCTAGTAGCGATGCCCTTGTTACTA